AAATTGGAGATCAATAGAATAAGAAATCACAAACCCCCCACAAACACATGGAAATTGAATAACACTCTCCTGAACAACCAATGGGTCACAGAGGAAATTAAAGAAGGAATTAGTTTCTACAATTACATGATAATGCCAGTACAACATACAGGAATCTATGGGACACAATGAAAGCAATTATATGAGGGAAATTCATAAGAGTGAATACTCATAGTAGGAAAATAGAGAGTGTGCAAACAAAAATCCTAATATTGAACCTCAAGATCCTAGAAAAAGAAGAGCATGACAAATCCAAAGCTTGTAAAAGAGAGAAAATTATAAAGATCAGATCAGAAACCAATGCAATGGAGACTAAGAGAATAATACCAAAAATCAATGATTCGACGATTTGGTTTTTCAAAAGAATAAAGAGAGTCAATAAGCACTTAGCCAACCTTATCCAAAAAAGGAAAGAAAAGGCTCAAATCCATGCAATTAAGAATGAAAAAGGTGAAGTCTCAACCGATACAGCCAAAATCCAGAGGATCATCAATACCTACTTTGAGAAACTGTACTCTAATAAAATAAAAAACACAGAAGAAATTGACAGATTCCTAGATACATATGAATTACCAAAGTTGAATGAAGAAGATATACAAATTTGAAACACCCTAATTATAATGAGTTAAATTGAAAATGTAATTAAAAATTCACCAACAAATAAAAGCCCAGGTCCTGATAGCTTCACTGCTGAATTCTACAAGACATTTAGTGCACAATTATTGCCACTATTCTTTAAACTCTCCAATGAAATTGAAAGGGAAGCAATACTTCCAAATTCATTCCTAGAATTAAGTATCACTTTGATTCCAAAACCAGGGAAAGACCCTACGGAAAATGAGATCTACATGCCAATCTCCCTAATGAACATAGATGCAAAAGTCCTCAACAGGATACTGGCAAAAAGAATACAGAGGGTCATCAAGCAGATCGTACACCCTGACCAAGTCAGATTTATCCCAGGGATGCAAGGATGGTTCAACATATGTAAATCAAGAAATATAATAAACTATATTAACAGAGCCAAGGACAAAAACCATATGATCATCTCAATAGATGCAGAAAAAAGATTTGAAAAAATCCAACACACATTCATGATTAAAAACCCTACAGAAAATTGGAATAGACAGTCTTTATCTCAGCCTGATTAAGGCTATCTACAAAAAACAACAGCCAACATCAACCTAAATGGTCAAAAACTGAAAACTTTCAAGGTAAAATTGGGAACATGACAAGGCTATCCAGTACCACCAATCCTATTCAATATAGTTCTGGAAACATTAGCCACAGGAGTTAGACAAGAGAAAGAAATAAAAAGAATAAAAACAGGAAAGAAAGAAGTTGAACTGTCATTATTTGCTGACGATATGATACTCTACATAGAAGACCCATAAAACTCTGCCAAAAGATTCTAAACTTAATTGCCAAAATCAGTACAGTAGCTGGATTCAAGGTCAACATACAAACATCAATAGCCTTCTTTTACACAAACAACAGACTCGCTGAGAGAGAAATTAGGGAAACAATTCCTTTTACAATAGCAACAAAAAAAATGAACTATCTAGGAATCAATCTAGAAGGAAGCAAAAGACCTCTACACTGACAATTGCAGCACTCTGAAAAAAAGAGATCAAAGAGGATGTAAGAAAATGGAAAGACATACCTTGTTCCTGGGATAAAAAGAACCAATATAGTGAAAATGGCCATACTTTCAAAACTGCCATATAGATTAAATGCAGTGCCAATTGAAATCCCAACAGTATATTTCACAGAACTAGAGAAAACAATCCAAAATTTCATTTGGAACCAGAAGAGACCTAGAATAGCAAAAGCAATTCTAGGCAACAGACACATGACCCGGAGTATCACAATCCCCATTTTGAAACTATACTACAAAGCCACTGTGATAAAAACAGCATGGTACTGACCAAGAAACAGACCCCAGGACCAGTGGAATAGATTAGAAGATGCAGAAACAACTCCAGACATACTCAGCCACCTCATCTTTGACAAAGGAGCCAAGCACCCGCACTGGAGGAAAGATAGCCTACTTAATAAATGGTTTTGGAAAAACTGGATTTCAACCTGCCAAAGATTAAAACTAGACACCTATCTTTCACCGTGCACTAAACTAAAAGATCTGAATATTAAAACAGAAACACTAACCTTGCTGGAGATAAGTTAGGTAGAACTCTTGAAGACATTGGCCTAGGAAAAGATTTTATGAAAAAACCCTCAATACCATGAGAACTACCACAAAGAATCGACAACTGTGATCTCATTTTATTAAAAAACTTCTGAACTGCAAGAGAAACCACCAACAGAGCTAAGAGACAACCTACAATGTGGGAAAACATTTTAGCAACTGTACCTCAGAGAAAGGACTATTATCCAGAATATATAAACAACATAAAAAAAATTAGACCCCCCAAATTTAAAGACCCAATTCAAAAATGGGCATCTGAAATGAACAGACATTTCTTAGACAATGAAGAAAAAGCAGCGAAGAAACAGGAAAAAATGTTTAACATCACTGGTCATTTTAGAGATGCAGATGTAAACAACACTGAAATTCCACCTCACCCCAGAAAGAATGGCTGCTATCAAGAAACCAACCAATAACAATTGTTGGCGGGGTTATGGGGAGAAAGGAACCCTTCTCCACTGTTGGTGGGAGTGCAGACTGGTGCAAACACTGTGGAAATCAGTATGGCGATACCTCAAAGAGCTAACACAAGAGGTCCCATTTGACGCAGCTATTCCTCTGCTGGGGATCTTCCCAAAAGAAATAAAAGAATCATACCACAGCGATATATGTGCACCCATGTTTATAGCAGCACACTTTGTAATAGCTAAAGCTTGGAAACAGCCCAAGTACCCATGAACTGGAGATTGGATAAAGAAGATATGCATTTTTTAATATAATGGAGAACTCTGGAGGCATAAAGAATGAGAAAGTAGAGACATTTTTAGCTAAATGGATGCACAATGAGGCCATAATCTTAAGTGAAATAAATAAGACACACATGTGTAAATACCAAACAGTTTCTCTGGTATGAGAAACTGAAAGTGTAAATCAGGATTAAAATGAATGATTGATAATGTGAAATAGGAAGGACCTGTCCAGTGGTTTAGGGAAAGTGGGAGGGGTAGGGGAAAGGAAAGAAGGGAAAGGAAAAATATGAGAAAAGGACAAAAATGGGAACAGTTTTTATAAATAGAGAGGCATAGAGGAGTTGAAGGGAGGGTAGGGCAATGGGGAAAGAATAAGCAACAAGATATATCATGTCAAGGTACAAGTTCCTGAAGATAAATGTAACTTTACTGTATACCAAAAATATACCAATAAAAGAACTTAAGGAAACAAATTCTTAAGCTGAAGTATAATCTTGATAAATGTTGGAGACCATCTCCTGTCTTTTGGGAAGAACTAAATACTGGGCTTTCTGCCCTGTGTCTAGGTGACACAGTAAGAGAGGATGAAAATTATCCCAGAAACAACACCCAGGAATTTCGGATTATTATTGGTGCTATCTGAATCTCAGGGTAGAATCAGACTGCTGCAAATCTATTGACCTAAACATGGAGCAGGAGTCAGATTAAGGGTTTCATGAAAAGTAGTCTAAGCTTAAAAAAATCTCTAGTTTTGTTGCTGAATAGGTGATATTTCATCTTGCTAGTCAGATGTAAATTGTTCACAACTGCAGGTGTACCAATTGTGGGGAATTACACAATTTAACTTTTGCAGGGGTGAGAGATAGCATGATACATTTAGAAAGAATGCATGTATCTATACTTCTCTGTGATGGTCTACACATGTATGTAGACACATATAGCATATATATGTGTGCACATATACATGTGTTTACATGTTGAAATATAAACATCTGAGTACCTCAGAATGTGTCTGTACCGAGAAAAAATACTCTTTAAAGAGGCAATAACTTAAAATGACTGCTATTGTGTGAGCTTTAATTGAATGCACCTGATGTCCTTTTCAGAAATTGAGACTTGCACAACAGATACATAGAAAAGACTATGTGAACACAGAAGTTTGAAGAATAAGCATCAACAAAAACCAGAGACAAAGCTCAAAAGAAATAACCCTGGTGAACACCTTGATGTAGGACATCTGCACTCCAGAACTGTGAGAAAATAAATTCTGGTCACATAGGACACGCAGTCTTGGGCAGGGTGTGATGGCGTATGCCTGAATCTCAGCCCTTGAGAAATCAAGGAAGGAGGTTGGTTGTGAGTTTGAGGCCAGCCTGGGCTGCATAGTGAGACTAAATAACCAAAAAAAGAAAAAGAAAGAGAAAGAGAGATAGAAATAATGAAAGGAAGAGAAAGAAAGATTGAATGAAAGAAAGACAGACAGACAGAAAGAAAGAAAGAAAGAAAGAAAAAAAAATACACAGTCTGCTATGATTCTTTGGCAGCCATGTCACACTAACAAAATCAGTATCAACATACATGTACATATGTGTGTTAAGGCATATGTGTGTGTGCATTTAATAAGAAAAGGATATTTTACATTTAGAAAAGTACTGTAGAGGGTTGACTATGATCTTTATTTTAAAATACTCAATAGTAGGAACAGAAAAATCCATGACTGTGTGACCAACTGATTTAATGAATTAACATGTTCTAGAAACACTAAATGTTGCTCTTTGTCTGACCTCTATAGTAAATCTAAATATGAACATAAAATTAATGTAGGTGGGAAGAGCAAAGGGAATAAAAGGAATCAAGAATTATGTGTTAAGTACAGGTATCTACTCCCTAAGATGAATGTTAGCATTATGTACTGCAAACATGTGCTAATTAAGTTATATTGAAATCTTGTACAAAAGATTAAAAAGAAACTAATGAACTAAATGAACTCATGAACTCAAGAGTTAACACACCCAGAGAATTGTGATAAAGTAGATACACAGATTTTAAAAATTTAATGCTTGATGTTAAAGAGTGATTTTACCTTTACACACAGTTTTCCTGAAAACTTTTTTCATTGCCCTTTTTACATCTTTGTTCCTCAAACTGTAGATGACAGGATTCAGCATGGGAATGATGATGGTGTAAAATATGGACACCACCATGTCGTGCTCCAAGGCGTAGCTGGAACTCGGCCTCACGTACATGAAGAGGATTGTCCCGTGATACATGGACACTCCAGCTAGGTGGGAGCCACACGAGGAGAACACTTTTCTCCTCCCTTCGGCAGAACGCATCCTCAGAATGGCCAACAGGATGAAGCCATAGGAGATGAGGACAATCAGGATGGTGACCACCTCAATGGAGCTCACAAAGAGCAAGAGTAGAAGCTCATTGATATGAGTGTCAGAACAGGAAATAGCGAGGAGAGGAGGGATATCACAAAAGATATGTCTAATTTCATTGGACCCACAGAAGGAGAGGCTGAAAGTGGCCCCCGTGTGCACAATAGCGTGAAGAATCCCCCCAACATAGGAGGCGATGATGAGTGGCACGTAGACCCTGGGCGTCATGCTCACGGAATACCGCAGGGGATTGTAGACGGCTTCATACCGGTCATAAGCCATTGCCGCCAGGAGAAAGCATTCTGTGGTCCCAAAAGTAGTAGCAAAAAATGACTGTGTTGCACAGCCATAGAATGGGATCATTTTATTCTGAGTCACCAAACCTGCTAACATTTTTGGGACGATATCTGAGGAATAGCAGGCATCCACAGAAGACAACACACTGAGAAAATAGTACATTGGGTTGTGCAGCTGGGAATCCTCAATGACCAACACAATCAGTCCTATATTTCCAACGAGGGTGAAAAGGTAAATTGTGAGAAACAAGCAAAAGAGGATGGTCTGCAGGTCAGGACTGTCTGTGAGCCCTGTGAGTATAAATACAGTGACTTCAGTGATATTCTTCATGCTGAAATCGCCTACAGTAGACTTGAAGATTTTCAGAAGATTACCGTTCATGGTACTGTGAAAACAATGAACAATAAACAATACTATGAATTGAAGGAATATGTGCCATACTTTTATATTTTTTTCTTGGCAATGTATGATGTCCAAGCAGTTGATCAGGAGCCACTAACAAGGCACCGTGCTACTGATGGAGACTCAAAGAAGGTTATAGGTGTTCACTCTGTAGTGAATAGTAGTATTAGTACCTCTACTTAGGCAGTTGGTATCTTACAGTATTGTGATTATATATCAAAGAGTGGAATTTTGGAGCATTATATTATTTCCCTGATTGTTGTTATGAGAACCACCAGAACTGTTTCCAACAATAATTAATCCAGTTTCCCTTAACATTTAAAATACGTAAGTGTGTCAGTTCTTCATGTACTTCCCAACACTTGCTAATTCAAGGTGGTTTACTTCATAAAACCATTTCTGTGTAAAGTTGTATACCATTATTTTTTATGTTTCCTGAGTAAAAAATGATAACAGAATTCCCATCACAAAAGAAATAATACTAACAGTCAGGCAATGGCACTATATTAAGTTGAAAATCTTCTGCACAAAAGAGGATACAATCAACAGAGTGAAGATACCACATACAGAATGGGAAAACTACTTTGCCCGCTCTTCTTCTGAAATTGATTAATATCTAGAATATATAATTAGTGCTGAACAGTTGACACACAAAAAATAAATGCTCCAATCAAAAATGGATGAATGAAATCAAGAGACACTTTTCAAAAATAGAAGTTCAAATGGCCAATAAGTACATTAAAAATCATCATCTTAGAGTATTAGGGAAAGAAAAATCAAAACAACTCTTAGATTCCATCTCACTCCAGTGAGAAAGACCATCAACCTGAACACAACAAGGTAAAGATCCTGGCAAGGATATGTGGAATAAGGAAGCTTCTACACTGTTGGTCAATATGTAAGACAGTAAAACCACCATGGAATTCGGAATGGAGAGTCTTCAAAAAATCAAAAATAAAAATTTCATGTCATCCAGCTATTGCCCTCCTGGATATTTTCCCAAAAGAGTTAAAATCATCATACTCTACTAATCAATGCACATCCTTGTTTATAGCAGCAGAATTCACAAGAGCTAAACAACAGAAACAGCCTAGATGTCCCTTAATGGAGATATGCATAAAAATGAAGTACACACACCTAATAGAATTCTACTCTGTCATAAAGGAGAATATATTCTTGTTTTTGTAGGAAAATGAATGATGCTGAGACCATAATGTTAAATGGAATGAGACATAGAGTTAAGGATTGCATGGTTCCTTTTACATGAACAAACTAAGATACAAATAATTTAAAGAATAAAATGCAGGGGAGGAAACAGACAGGTAAACTCTTTTGAGATGAGGAAGGGGAAAAGGAAGGGAGAGAAGGGAGGGTGGTGGATAAAGGACAATAAAAATGATCAAGATACAATATATAAGTGTCAATTCTCCCAAACAAATGTGATTATTATGTACCACAAATACAACAACTAAAAACATGACAACCCTTCTTGGGTCCACATCCTCATGACCTCCTTTAACCCTAGTTTTTTCTTACTTGTGCAAAGTCTAAATACACTCAATATGTGTATTTAATGATTCCATTTCCACCATATGAACCTTAGAGTGCTGTATTCAGATCAGAGCAATACACAAAACATGTTGCTGTGTAATTCTGATAAAGCCGATTCGTTAATTTTTTTCATTTGCTGCTTGTGTTTCATTTTTTTATTTGTTTCCCTTGTTTAAGGATTCATTAATAAAACTGTGAACATGAAGTCACATGTATCTACATGAAGACATATGTGTAGTGACGTAGAGGGACAACTTACATGGGAACATCCAGTTGTCCGAATACCAGAAATTCTCTTTCATCAGTGTTCAAACTCATCACAATAGCATGCGACTATTTCCTTTGAGTTTACAAAACTTGAGTGGCTTTGGAACATTAATGCTGCTACAGATGTTTAACTAAATTTCCTCAAATTATTTTTGTGGATAGTAATAGGTATATTCAATATTGAAACATTTTTGTGCTATCTACTTGATTGGAAAATATTCCTAGGATGTATATGGACTGAAAATTACTAAGTGTGATCCAGATATATAGACCATATTCATTATTATAAAATGTGACCAAGATGAAGAATAAAAATACATAAACTGCATTCTGGATTGTGTTGGAGACAACTGATTTGGAAACAAATTCCTGTCTTATTTAAGTGCTGCAAAGAAATATTTAGCACTCAAGAAAATTAAATCTCAACACTTTATTGTTATATGAGATTTTAAAAAGCCATTGAAAATGATGTTAACATCATAGTTTCACTGATTTATATTAAAATCGCTCAAAATCAGTTTTGTGTATTCCCTTATACAGACATATATATGTATACATTTATTTTTCCTATCATATTATGGCAAATATATTTTACAAAAAGATATGTAAAAATGATAAAATACTGTAGCAACTGTGGTTCTGTTAAATTGGACAGAGGAAATGGGAGTAAGCAGGCTGGGAAGAATGAAAATGTTATCATTCTACTATATTACTTTAAAACAAGAAAGCACATATTAAAAAGCTATCGTTTAGTGTGAATGATGAAAATATGGAGTCAATTGTGTCATTTTTGAGCCCACAGATGTGTGTTTATGTCTTTGTGTGTATGTATGTGTTTTGTGACCAATTGGTATTCTGATGTTGAGAGGTTTAACTACTTGACTAATGGATGTTTATGTAGATGAAATAAAGCAGAAGCAAAAGAAATAAAACTTTGATGAATATGGTGAAATCCATCTATTTGTAATTGGAGTAGAAGTCACAAGAAAATGTGAAACTCGATACAATTCTTACCATCATTTCAATAACGTCTATGGTTCAAGTGCTATGAAATGTGGAATCTAAAAGCAAGTGTTCATGACCCAGCTTCATAACTGAAACCCACATGTCATAGTGCATTGTCTCTTCGATTTTATTCATCTTTAAAATAGCAATGCAGTTTAATAAAAAGGGACACAGTGATGTAAAGCCAGTTGAGCTAATTAAATATGTAGCACAATTTATTTCAATATGTCAGGGCTAGAAATTTATAATGATCATATACTTGAAATGATATTATCATATATTTCAACTAAAATTTTCAGATATTGAATCACAAAATGAATATTATTACTAAATGATTGAAAAAGTGTGTGACAAAAAAAGAAAAAGTATGTGACTAGAACCTTCAGACAGATAGTAAACTTTTTAGCTGCATAAAACATATATTTTTTGAATATTAATATACTAATATTATCCTAATAATCCTAATTATCAAATATTCTGCATGTAATATATTCTTTATGATTTTTCTCTGCTACTTTTCCGTATTTCTGAATTACTCTTTAACACAAAGTAATATTGCTAATTGTGTGATATGTTGACATCAAAAGTACAGATATTACCACAGTTCCATTTGGTATATTTCAGTGGGCTTAGTTTTACTTTATGCAAATTAAAAACTATGTTAAAAACTATGATGTTGGAGAAATCAGCTAAACTGCTTTTGAGATGCATTTCTATTGAGTGATAAGAAAAATGGGACTCAGGCAATGTGAACACATATTGAAAGGACTCCCATATTTTGACCCAATAATTCTGACACAATGATTCTGATTCATGAAGAATCTAATAACATAGGACTGTTAAAATCAGTGAGAAACCACATGCTCACACACAATTAGACTAGGCAGGAAACTGCAAGTATTTTGGGTTCAACATTTAAGCAGTAAGTTTGCAAAGGTGAGAGAAAATGTAACAGCTGTGGAGAATTTGCTAGAGGAGCAGAATTTCTTGTACACTAATTTGTTTCCACTTTGTAGCTAATAAGTGCCAGAGACAAGATTTAACCCTACATGTCTCATAGTGCACACATGTTTCAGTGTCTTTACTCTTTGTCTTGTTAGACCAGAGCTTCATTTTGTAAGTTATACACCCAAATCCCGCCATTCCCAGGGAAGTAGGTCAAAGCAAAATTCTTAATGGATTTTGGAAAAAACATTTACTAGAAAATGATTAGAAATACACAGTAATCCAAATTGCCTTCTAGATTATAGAGCTAATGAAAAGATTGATTGCCATTGTTTTTATAGCAAAATATTTGTGTATCTCAGATATAAATGAGTAGTCTATTCACCTATGCAGTAAGCAATAATAAAAAGGGTTTATGCAGTGTGCTTAAAAACTAAAATGTGTAATAAAAATAAATTAGTCTGACATTTCAGCTCTCTAAAGTATCCTGCAAATGATCTCAATATTTCTCTTACCTGTGGAACAGCAAATTCCAGTTTAACTTATGATGGATTGCTTATTTAGATTGTGTATATCCACTTACCCAATTGTTGAGAAAACCCACAGGAGATGTTCCCAAGGGAATATGCCCCAATTACCTTCTAATTTATCATAGCAACATGGTGTTTTACTGCCTAAAAATAGGATAAATGCCCCCGGAATGAGATTCTACGTGTTAAAATCCCCCAAATGAATGGCGGTATTTGACACCTAATTAAAATGATGTATTGGAAAATACGTTTTAAAATGTTGTAAATTGTGGTACGTTATCTTAAGGCAGGAGAAAATATAACATGGCTTTGATGTTAGGTTATAATTTCACTTCCTTGAAGTTCAAATACCTCAAAGTGACCGTATAAGCAATTTTATATTACAACAAGTAAGTACTTTTGGCAAACTATAGTAACGTCATGCCACCACTTGTTTCACATATGGGACTGAGTGCATGAGTTACAACTATTCCAATGCATGTTACTTTAATTCTGCTCAAATTATAAACTGCTATCTTTGAAGCAATTAATGTGAAAAATTGGGTAATTGGGTGATTATGTCTCAAGTAGTTAGAAAACCCAAAATGCTGTATGTAAGGAGGCAGCATGAACTTTAAAACTGACTTCAGCAGACATAATTTTGTGACTGTTGGATACTAAAGTTCACCCAGGTGAAGTATA